TTCTGATAATTTTCTCATGAGCAACGCAATAATAAATATACAATTTCAGTTTTACAAAAATAGATAATATATAATAAATAAATAGAAAAAAAACAATAAATAATGACGCATAAATTATAACAGACATCAAAAATTCACTAATTAGCTCAAAGAATAGCGGTTAGCATATGTACCAATTGGCATTAAAGCTTCTGGAAGAAAGTTGATCTTGCATTGATTCAGAAAAACATGTGGAAAGCAAGAGTAAGCAAAATTGTTAAGCATGCAAATGTGAATAAGAGTAAGCAATAAACAAGTACAACCACATTCTTCTCTATTATCTTATCCATACATATAGTGCGACTACATCTAAGCCCACATGGTAATGATTTTCGTACCCCTTGTGGTTTATTACCTCTCAATGCTTTCTTTTTATGTCGACTTCCTATATTAAAGAAAAAAATAATTAATAAGTTCTGAACGTGAAAGCAAAAACCTGAAAATAATTTTTAATTTATGACAAAATACCATTTAAATGTGTTTGAAGTTGTTGTATTGAATTGAGGCACACGTTACAGACGTTACATTTCAACCCATTTGTCTCTTCATCTTTTGTAAAGGCTACTTTCGTTTCTTCAAGTGACGCCATTATATTCTTAGATCTAATCTGTAAATTATAAAGCACACAGTTCTACATCTTTGATCTTTAAGATTCTGTTTCATACTTTATCTGTTTGTCTCTACCACAGTCATATATGGTCTCTAAACATACTTGTTTCTTACAATTGTTCATTGATTAAGGTGTACGAACCTGTTTTGCATGGCGTGCTCCTTGCAAATGAGTATCTAATACTGTTTGGCTTGTAAAGGAAAGATCACAGTCATCACATCGAACAAGTGGCTTTTTTGTAGGTAAATTACCCATTATATTATCTACAACTGCTTTAGTTACTGGGTCATTAAGACTTGGATTCATTACAGCTCCCGACGTTACGGCCATAGTTGAAACTGAAAGTTTAATTCATTAAGTTGTAATATTTTCTCAATAATCCATACTAAGTTTCTCTTGAAATAATACAAAATTACATATTTAAACTACGATTTATAAGTCTCTTTAAGGTTATTTTATAAAATATGAGAGATAAAGAAATATTTATAGAAAATACTGTAATTCCAATCAGAAATAATGATTATTGACGTTATGTAATTATAAATTATTTACCTAATTATAGTTATTCACTTAAATATACTTCTTCAAATATGTAATTGCCTATGTATGTGTTCTACCTACTGTATGTTGTAGACTGAACTTGACTGAACTCAATTTCACTAATGTTTAGATCCTGTAGTAAACTTAATTTTTTTTTCTATGAATGCTGGAAGGTATTACTTAGCGGGCATTAATGTTTATAAATGAGACGAGATTTTGTAATATTACGGATACAGTCTTAAAGTTGGTCCCTTGTCTCATTTTAGGAACTTTACACTCTAATTTCAAAATGTTTGCTAATCTTCGTTATCAAATTTGATAGGTTCCAAGCGTTCCTAGAATTTCGCAGAGTAACAAATTGCGCATAATTAATTAGTTAGATATATAAATAAATTAATTACCAATAATACGTATTTGCTTCGAAACAATGGGCGCAAGTGCGTATAAATTGCACACGATTTTATTACAATGGTCCATTTTTCTTTTGTAAAATTTTATTGGGTGCACCAATTTGTAATGATAACCGAACTTCATCATTTTTTATATATATCATACTTGGGTTTTACGTATATTTATATTCATGCCCTACGATAAATATTCCGTTCATATTCAACGAGGTAACGAAGAAGCCGGCTTTTATTGATGTTATTGAGAGGGATTAAAGTTATTCGAACCGAAACCTTCCTCCATTAAATTACTTACGCATTAAAATCAAACAGGTGAATAAAGCTTAGCGTTGGATCGATCCAATCAGCGGTTTTCAACGCGCGACGCTGGTCATGATAGAGCGCGATATTCGCGGATTGAAAAGGGCAGCCAATTAGAAAAGTTGGTGAATATCGTCGGTCGGTACTTAGGCGCGTGTGTTTGTACGAGTACATATACATAGGTGACGGTCGCGAAATATAGTAGCAGCCATCTTATATTTTGTGTCGGAGAAAAACAATTTGGCCATACAAATGTTTCGCGATTGTCCGTGAAGCCGCTTGAGAACGGGAGGCGTGCGCTCGATGAGGCGTGACGTTTTTCGACCCTAGCCCGGACCACTACATTAGCAAAGGTTCGTAAAACGCTGGTTTCTTCTTGGAGCACGGTAAAATCGAGTCTCGCTCCGGAGGCGCATACGAGGAATCCGGTTTCGCAGTCAAAATATTCCGCCGTTTCTTCCGTCGATTTTTTAAAAATAGAGTTGCCCGTGTTGCTCGCTGCTGGGTTACGTTCTGTTGACGACGGCACCGTGCCGTCTTCGAGTGGTTCGCGTAAAAGTTATGCAATCAGCTGATCGTCCAGTTGCCTTCTGTCACTTGTCAAAGATAAATGTCAAAGCGATCGGTCTAACCTGACGACGCGTATAAATACGAATCGGGGCTATGCACGATACCAGGGTCGCGGGCGTACCTGACTCGTCGGGAATTTTGCCGCTGCAACAAGGATTGTAAATGGCCATTTACAGTGATTCCCTGTCATGCAGGTGGATTGGTACGCAGGATATGAGCAGCTTGTCAAGCGCAACCTGACTCTGCTCCCCCATCAAGAAGCAGCGCAGCAGCAAGAGCTGCAACCGCAACAGCTGGCTCAGCAGCAACAGACTGATATAATGACGTCCATGTTTGAACAACAAATCAAAAGTGAACCTATGGGGTTCTATTCTGTTGCTTCGAGCCGTTCGGATGGTTCAAATTCTATGGTGAATCTGTCCGATGACCGTGAAGATCTTTCACAACAGGAAGGACATCTACAACCCCAGCAACAGACGACGCTTCAATTGAATCAGCAACAGGGTCAACAACAATCTCAGCAACAGAATCAACAACAAACGCAACAGAGTCAACAACAGCAGAGTCAGACTGTGCAACAAGAAGTTACAAGTCGTCAATCTACAGGACAGCAAACAGTTAAAGAGGGCTCAAGGTCGAAGCCACAGCCCTGTAAGGTATGCGGCAAGGTGCTATCTTCCGCTTCATCGTACTATGTACATATGAAACTTCATTCGGGCAACAAACCATATCATTGTACAGTATGCGAAGCAAGTTTTTGCCGGAAACCATACTTGGAAGTGCACATGAGGACGCACACGGGGGAACGACCTTTCCAATGTGATCTGTGCTTGAAAAGGTTTACGCAAAAGAGCAGCCTTAATACTCATAAACGGGTGCACACGGGAGAAAGGCCATACGCCTGCGACATTTGTCAAAAACGCTTTGCAGTGAAAAGCTACGTGACGGCGCACCGTTGGAGTCACGTTGCTGAAAAGCCTTTGGTGTGCGAAAGATGTTCACTCACATTCACGTCCAAGAGTCAATTCGCAATACACATCCGTACCCACACCGCAAGCACTACGTACGAGTGTAACATTTGCGGGCGTACGTTCGTGCGCGACAGTTACCTCATACGGCACCAGAATCGAGTACATCGTGATATTAATCAAAGCAGTACGAATCATAATCCGCCTACACCGCAGAGCACCGGCGGTGGCACACCAGGTACAGGCTTCGAGAGTCCAGTTTGTGATTTACGCTACAGCGAGGGACCTTCTTCGTTGGACGGGTTGGCAGGCTCGAAGGGAGGCATCGCGGCTGAGATAGCAAGTTTAGCCAAGCAAAATAATCTTCAACTTCCTCTACCACTGCTACATCCGCAGTCTACCAACTAGTGTTTAGATGACAACGCGTCCGAGACCCTACCGCAGCATCAGTCACCGCAGCAAGTAGTATGTCCCACCTCGGCGTCCTCGCCGTTCACACTTAATTCACCCGTGTCTCACGAGCACACCACACCGCAGAGTGTCTACCAAACGACAGGTTCGTCTAGTTCCCTGGACAGTCTCAACTCCCAACTATATCCACAAATGTCATCCCCTGTAGATTCATCGGAGTCGCATCATCAATCTCATCAACTGCATCGCGGTATTCCTCCGCCAGGGCTTCACCCTGCACTCTATCTATACGCTCAGTACTCGAACACGAGCTCGCCTGTACCATACCCCGAATATGTTCAACGCAACAATGAATGAGTCAGTTTATGCCAGCAATGACGATCATTACCACGAGTGGGAAGGGAGGGTGTAACGATTCGCGCCACAGACCGTCCCCGGTTCAGACCTCTTCGATCGCGTGTCATACTTAATTGGTGCTGGTTAAACAAAGTGCCTAAATAGCATCCGTTTTCTGGATTACCAAGGATGCATTACAAAATCGTGGATTAACGATATATTAAAGAATTTCTACGCACTGCATCTTATTTGGACTTAAAAATGCAAAATGAAACAGACACGACTGGATTATCTGTAAATGAATTATTCTTCTTGCACGTGTTTATCGTTGATATTTCTCAGTCCATTTAATGGATTACTACATTAGCGAGCTACGTATTTAAGCGATTATTAAGCACCACCGTTTGGAGGGACGCGCACTGCATACACGCGTAACAGCGATCGATCGTTTCCTCGATCGTTGGGTTTTCCTCGTTTAACAATCTCTATCGTGGTATATCGATGTTAGCATAAACTAACACGCGCGAACCGTTTCTATACGAGTTTTCCAAGTTTCCGCACTTCTTGATTTACCTGTTTTTTAAAGACATCAGCGAGTACATATACATATATATATCTATGTGTGTATATATATTGTGCGCGAACCATTACACATACACATATTTATATTATATTTTTAAAGGAGTTTAGTCACTTGGATCTGTGATATAGATAGTAATTATTATCTACAACATTTAAACTATTGGTTTACTATTTTGGTGATATCAAAACGAGGAAAAAAGGAAAAAGAGAAAGAAAGCAATGTCACCGAGCGATGTAGCTATCAGAATTTAAATGGACACTGGTCTCTACCAAGAAACGTGTTTGGTAGACACCCTACTATTACTTTTACAAAACAAACAAAAAAACAGGAACATTACTATTACTAATGCTACTACTAGTACTACCATTACTACACCGTTAGCACTATTACTCTTACTAATATTATCACCCTCTCACACCACTACGATTCCACCACCGCCAACACTACTGACATTTCTCAAACCTATACATATATTACTCTCGCTATTATTATTACTACTATTACTACTACTACTACTACTACCACTACTACTATTATTATCATTATTATTAGAAACACGCGAACGTTACTTCGTTTTTGCAACATGCACACGGTGTGTATCAATAGGATCTATAATCCCAATTGTCATAATTTTTCTTTAGCTTCAAACCATCTTTTTAGTTTGATATTCTTTATTCTGTCCCTGTCCCGACTCGTTGTTATTCTATTCCTTCGAAACTATTTTTCTCTGCCTTATCTTTTGCGCGTATCAAATCATACCAAGGTATGCCGGTATTTCTTTTTATCACGTAGAACTATACTTGTGTACAGCTTTGAATCAGTTCCATAGGTGTACTTACTTTTCACATATCGAAGTGTATTGTACACACAAGGTACATATTGTACATAAGTATACATATACATATGAGTGTATTATAAAACGAGCGGATGTGCAAATTGTAAGTTCTAAGTACTAGAAGTGTAATAGCAGGGCTGTTGATTTTTCTTTCCTTTTTCGACTATATTGTTAGAGATTAGTTTTGTAGCGATTACAGTTATTACTATTATTATGATGATTATGATAATCCTTACTATATATTAACGTTCTGGTTATACTGAATTATCAACGGTTCGAACGCTGATCATTTTAATGTTAACGCCACAAAGCTTAGAAGCGGGGGAACCATGACAGCCGCGAGTCATAAAACGCGAGAAAGGAAAAGAAAAAGGAATATAATTCGTTAGTTTCCTTCTGAATTTTCGTGCACGGTCCAGTATGCGATGTGTCCGTTTATTTTGACGATAACACGAAAATAGATGATCGTGGGTGCGCGCGCGCGTACACGCGCCAAGTGATTTCGGTGAGAAAAAAGGTACGCTAGTTTCGAGCCGATCGAAGCATATTAAGCGGTTAGATAATTATTGAAACGAGAGAGGAAAATTACGAATGAAAAAGCGAAAACACACAAATGCGTAAATACGTAAAAACGAAAATGAAAAGAAACGAAGATAGTGAGAGGAGGAGGAGGAGAATATTCACGCTAGCATGCCTCGGAATCTCCTTGTGTAGGACTGTCTCGACGATCTTTTTAGTCTTCGTGCTGAATAAAAGGAAGAGCAAATCTCTGCGCGCGTATGCCCGAGGCTTTTGATTTAAACGAGACGCGAAGTCACCGGGCAAGACTGAATTCACTCGCAAGGAATTGCGATCGCAGAAAGAACAAAGAAAGAGATGAAAAGGAATGTTCTTCTTTCGTCTTACATTCTTTTTTGGTTTCGGTTCTAGATACACGTTCATATCGTGTATACATACCATAGTACATTTGTATTCGCGTGAGAGAAGAAAAGAGGGGGAGGCGATGGAACATATTTAATTGTTCTATGCAAGAAGAAAAGAGAAACCCGCCTTCCTATGCGTTTCGTTCGGGGAAAACTTAGGTGCAATGAGAGACGAGAAATACAGACAGAGAAAAAAAAAAGGAATGATCTTCATGCTGGCTAGTCATTGTACAGCTCTATGAGATATTGATCGTACTACTAAAGCTGTGATTAATAAAGCCTCCGTGCATATGTTCGCGCAGCTCCTAATTATTATAGTGATACATATTTTGTAGCTTGTTACGACAGTAAGATACAGTAAGTAGCTCGTAGGTATACCTAGCGAAAGGGAAAAGTTACAGTTCCGAATTGATCGGTCGATTCTTCATTCCGATCTCTTTTCTTCCTTTCTCTTCTTCTTTTCTCAGTCCCATCCACGTTCCTTTCCTTCCTTCTTTCCCCGCTCTGATCTCTTTCATCATTTATTCCTCCCATTCATCCCTATTATTCTTCTTTACGTCCTTCTTTTCGATTTCACGTGGTGCTGGATGAGCTGGCGCATCATCCGTGAAAATAAAGTGAAAAGTTTGTTGCAAAGTGATAGAATAACAAGCATTGTTGGTCTCAAACACTTCGTAAATTGTTGTTTTACCACTTTGAGTAACGAGAACAAGTTTAGAATTGTGCCCTCTAATTTTTATCTCCGATTTTTAGTATTCTGTGGCATATCGTCTCTTGTAAGGAATGCGAGTACAGATTTTATGCGTGATGCTTACTTTCGTTTTGATAGGATTTTCTGTTTTATAGAAACGAATGTAATTATTTATACGAGCTTTCATTTATTGTTTAGGCATAAGAAATTATTTAAGTAAAAGTAGAAGGTGAATCAGAGATTAACCTTTAACAGCAATATTGTGCGCAGTTTTTAGAAACAATAATTATTATTGATAGAATTTTATGAAAATATTCGCTCATTGATAATGCATGCAAATGAGACAATATTTTAAAATCATTCAGTTACATCTGTTCCGTGGAAAACATGTAAATAGACGTGTAAATAAAAAAAAATTCAAGATTTTATTTAGATCGTTAATGTAAATGTATGACTAAAGTTTATTTAATTCTTGTACTTTTGTAGATAGTTGTGTACGCATATGAATGATAATTAAACTGAATTGAAATAAAACAATCGGGGTTTAATTTAAAAATCTGAATCTATCCTATACGCGTTCAAATTTGATTTTCTGCTATACACGATTTCTCACAACACTTTTGCCTATCTTATATTACATATTTTTTTTTTTACGTTGTCATCTCGGTTCTTAAATCAGTTTCATTTTAATAATTTTAATTACATCATTAATCTGAATAATGAGCGATTATTTTCGTAAGTAATTAATCATGATAAAAAAATAATCGTTTCTAATCCGATAAACGATGAATGAATAAATTGTACAGCCATCGGTGCTTGAGTTGGCACCGCATTACGCAAACATTTTTTATCTGCATTGATAGAAATGTAAACGAGACCCGCTAGAAAGTAACGATTTTTGCAAGGAGGAATACGGTACGCGGTAGTAGCATTGTCCAGCACCGACACCCTCACAATTCATGTTTCCTGGATCAGTTTAACGATCTCAATAATTTTGACCATCATTCCACGGACGTGTGTAATACGCACGCGGAGGAGAGATAGATAGATAGAGTTCTCATTATCGTACGTGGCGTATGTATCAAAGATCGGTGTATTTTTCATATGAAGTGAGGATAGACCTTTTCTCTAAAAGAGTACACGTCGGACCAATGTATAAGAATCTTAAAAAAAGATGGAAACAAAAACGAAAAATGAGAAAAAGCAACTAGGAAAATGTATCAAAGAAGAAAAAGTAACACGGCCTCACAGAAGGCCGAAGTTCAGAATTAACTAACTAATCAAGCGAGCTGTTCGTTTAAACATTAACATTAATTTACTACGTAATTTATTACGTAAACGTAGTAGTACTCGTTGCTTTTTTACGAAACGTAATCGAATTTGTTCGATTTGTTTCTATTCGTGGAAATTATTCGTCTTTTCTTTTTCTTTTACTGGTTCGTTCGTTCGCTTCTCTTTCTGATACACTTCTTCCATGTTTCACTTCATTAGCACGCAAGAGGCACGTGGCTGGAATAATAATCCAATGGGATCTATTTTGTTCCAATAATGAACTATGGATTCGAATAATTGTTCCATTCGATGAAAAATTAGCCATGAACGAATTTAATCGAATCGAATTCTCTGCAAGTTTGGAAGTTAAGAAAGGAAAGGAAGAGAAAGTCGAAGGTAGCTATGCGTTCCTTGCGAAATCTATTTCTTGAGCTTTTATACATAAGTGTAATTCGTAGAAGTAACGCCTCGTAGACGATGTTAAGTTACTGAAACGTCAGGAAATCAAAATAAGAAAGAAGGAGTAAGAAACAGAACACATTGCATATTGCAATTAAAGAGCGTCGCGCATCGTCGAGGGAAAGTAGTCGATTCCTTCTCATCAAAATAAAATCATCAACTAATCTGAAAATATTAATCGTCTAAGTTTTTTGCTTACAGTGTCAAAGCCGCGTTGTACAAAAGATTACAGTTTCATCATTGCTTTCCTTCTTCTTTTATCCTGTCACGATTGGCCGTTGCGGCAGCCAAAAAATCATTAATCAAAAAAAGATAAAGAAAGCAGCGAAGTACCGTGTGTTTGCCATCACGCGTGACATTATTCTTCGCACTGATTCTTCTAGTAGAAAGAGCAACATGTCGATGAAACGTGAACGCGTCACTTGTATACGAGAATAATTTCAAACAGAGACACAATCGTTGCTCGCGGACGAGGATTATTGAGGTGTAACTGTATAAAGGAAAATTATAGGAGATGAGAAAATTGATGATGGTTTCAAGAACAGCGATAGTGCAATGTGATCGTTTTGTTACATCGTATTTTTTACATGACCGTTTAAAGGAGAAGATAGTAATTCTTCACATTATATCTACGTTTATGTCCACATACATACATATCTAGTATGTATGTATGTGTATTTATTGGGTAAATATCTTCATTTAGTCTACTGTTAGGTTCACGTTTGACGTGTACTATTTTATGTATTAAGTTATTATTATTATTATTATTATTATTATTATTATTACTATTGTTATAATTTCGTGATCGTCTGTGTCAGTATTATGTTCCTCATTCGAAATCTCAATGCACGCGAATCAATTCGTTTTATCGAAGCTTAGCCCTTCATGATATATCACATAATGATGTGCTCGATTTATTTAATTCATTTTGTTATAAAATCGTTTGCTTTTTCACGCTTTCTTGACGACATTCGTCTGACACGAGATCTTCTTCGATATATGTTCAATGTCTGAGATATCATGGCATGAGAAATTTATTACACTGTGACATTTATTAAAAATTGCAAATGCCCGGAAAGTTTTAAATGTAAAATTATTTAATGAACAGTATTAGACATGTTTTGATCATTTTATGTCGTGTAACAAATGTTTGGTTTGAAGTTGCATGTTGATGGTTTGAGACGGTTAAATACTCATCTGAATGATTTTCCATTTGCGAAAGATACTCAAGTAAGGTAATTGTATCGAACGTGAAAGCTTTAACTTAATGTCAGGTTGAGCTTTCGTTTCAATTATTCGTCGTCAAGAAAGATTAGTTTAATCGAGAATTCGAATGAGCTGAGGATTCATTTCGAGTAATACTCACGAGAGCCGAGTGGGTTTTCCTTTAATGGGCCGCGTGTTGCACCTGTAATCGACAGAGATTTCATTGGGTTCCGATGAACGTAATCAGTCGTAGCGACCGGAGAAACCTTCGTCGATATTACGTTACGATATTACGCGGAAGTATCGCTCGATGGGGCCAGTAATTCGAGCTGTCCACGGAGGATATACCGATTGATTCAGGTGCGAAGCGAACGATTTATACATGCTCGATTCAGGAAAAGAATGATCAAACGCAATTGAAAGCGATGATTAAACGCGATAACTTTTTAAAAAAGGGACAGCGTCAGGTTGCTTCGATCGCGAATTACTCGAGTCTCCGTCATTTAACCCACGTCCGAGTTTGCAAGCATGTAGCAAAAAATGCGACGATATTACAATTTTTTAACAAAAATCATTTTAAAACATCTCTTCTTGTCCTATCATTCTTTTATGATAACAAAATTCTAGTATTTTGTTTAAAATTATTTGCGTGTAGTAGTAAGTCACGCTGGTTCTGTTCCTGGTATCTGAATCGGAAATAAGATATTATGCGACTTGAATTTTCCTAGTCACGTCTCTAAACGACAGTATTAAATTGAACAAAGAACAACGTTTCGTGTTGTCAACTCAAAGTATGGTATACATATACATATTTCGCTACATGTTTCACACGACGTCATTAATAACTACTTTAATTCATCTTTCATAATTACATTGCAATCGCATTAACATCGATTTAATTCTAGTCTAAACAGGAAAGAAAAAAAAAATGAAAACGTAGAACGTTAACAGAACATGTCGTAGTGTTGGTCATTTAAAAGAAAAATCGTCAATTCGATTTAGATCGAAGAAGAGAAAAATTGCACGATTGTCGCATTTTAACACGACGACCTTTTCCCTTTCCTTTCATGCGAATCGATTCGGTGGGAATCTTCAGCTCGAGACTCGAGCCAGTTCTGGTCCCGAACTTTGAACCCTTTGGGTGCTTTTATCGTGTCGGCTGATCGGCCCTACACACTTTTGTGATACATACTCGGTTTCGTACAGCCCTGGCTCGGACGTTTAATACTCTCGCTCGTCTCCTGGTACGAGCAGCGCGTGATGTAATTAAATCGACTTTCGCGGGTCGGTGGGCGAGTGGTGTGGGTGAGGGGATCGAAGGGTGGATTAATCAGCGAAGACTGAACGGGTAAGGAGGGGCTGGTGCCACGCGAATCGTGGGGGACGTATACGAATTTAATAAGAGCGAAATCAATCTCGATCTATTATCGGGGCTAGGTTTACCTTGTGAAAAAGATCGCCGGTGGTGATGCGCGAACGGAACGGATACGAGTCGAAGAAAGGGAAAGAAAAAGAAGGAAGGTAAAAAGTGGAAAAAAAGAGACGATAAAACGATGCTCGCGTCGCTCGACATTGCGCCTGCACCATTTTGCTTCTTTAGCAGAGTACAATGCCATTTATTTTTGTAATACGTTTACGTAGGATAGCGATTATTTTTATAGGGGTTTACCGTGCTATCAGTAAGTCTTATAGAGGCCTGCGAAATAAAATAGTGTAGGATTTTTCATAGGAGTCGCCGATTCCACGCTTACGATTAGATGTATAAGGTGTTCTAGGATTCAACGTGACGAATATTACATGAAAGACACGCACTTCTAGTACTGGCTTTTCGTTTCTTCTTTAGCGTCCACACGCTCTTTTTCATACGGGATTCATTGCCCGGATTGATACTATCCGTCATCGAATAAAGTAATGCCTGTATTAACATCAACTGACGCTAAGAAATCTCGTTTAAAGGATCTCGGCAACAGTTCGTTCATTTTCTAAGGGGGGAAAACATAGCAATAAAAGCAAGGAGTAAACGTCACTCATAAGAGGATAAAATCTGCTATGAAGTGGTACAACGTAGACGATAATAAACATGCAATATTTCTTCCGATAAGTGCTGCTTTCCGTGGGACCCAAAATATCCGGGCGACGTGTAACGACTCGCAAGAATTTTATAAGAAACGACGAAAACCATAGTTGGCTATAAAAAAATGTCGAACTCCTTACTCTATGCTTCTTTTTTACACGGGTGTACTTGGACTCCCGAGTTTCTCACGAACACGTGGAGCAATACTCTAATCAAACAGTCATCAATACTAATACATAGGCCGGTATTCAGAGTCGTTATTTATATTTATATCGCCTTAAGCATTTGCTTAAATTCCTGTTTCCTGTACAAGACAGGAATTGGACATATGAGATAGACAGGGATAGCAAATGCTTAAAACGATCTGAAGAATAAGCAACGACTCTGAATACTCACTATAGACCATGCACACTTCGATGCTGTTGTATGTATTTGACATAAAAACTAATTAACGAGAAGTTATCAAGTTATACAATCACGTGTGCCGTAGACAATGTGATATCCATGAAAAACATTGAAATTCTTGTTACGCGAAACCAAAGGTCTTGCAATAGAATTTAGAGACGTATCCGTTTTTGTAACGTCTTCCCCGTTTATTGAAGTTATTCCACAGATATTTGTTCATGCGATAGATATAAATTAAAAGAACACAAGAATCGAAATCGATTCACTTATTATAATACAATTACTCGTAATTATTTGAAGAATCACGCGAATAATTATGAGCGTTTACGTATGAAAGATACAAGACACACATCCAATAAACAAAAGTTTAATATTGATGTGGTCTACGACACATCCGAGGGTGCTAGATCAAGAGCAAACAAAGAAAAGCAAAAAAAGAAGTAACAAAATCGAAAAGTCGATTAGGCCATAAGTACCAAACGTAAGAATTTTTATTGCTAATATTTTTCCTCAGGTCGAGTCATGAACGGTGCCTAAAACGCTTTGATTAAGGAGCGAACGGGACATAAAAAGCAAGTTCTGAATTGCGTGTCGATGAACTTTAAAAAAGGAACAAAGCACAAACAGGAAAGGAGAAATACTGAAGGGAAAAAAAATTGGGGACTGTTGAACAGATTCCCGCTGTGCGTGGTTTCGTGTTATCCCCAAAAGAGAAAGCAAGATTGGAACAATTTCGAGGAGAAAGTGAAATAGTTAAAAGAAAGAAAGGGAAACGAAAGATTAATACGAAAAAAAATACAAATGATCAATTTATCGGAAGAATAAAAGATTCTGATGATGACACGACGATAAGGATAAGATATACCTATATACATACCGTCGATGCGTAGAAAGTACCGTGTCACGTATACATATATGTATTTATACATACATATATATATATATATTATTATACAATACACAAGAACACGCGTGCATGTATGAATGAATTTGCGTATATGAAGGAGTGTGCCTATGTGTGTGCATGTGTGTGGAACGTTACATAAAAGAAGGGTAGTGCTCCGTTTAAGGAAAGCACGTGCAGATCGCGATGAAATTTGTGCTGAGACTGTTTGACGAATCATGTTTTACGAATAAACACGATTTTTCTCAAACAGTATGACTGACGTGAAAAAAGATTAATACGCGGCACGTCCAATTCGTAACGGGAAAAAATGGCTTAGTATTCGGTGGGAGTACTATTTTCGTTGCAGTCTGCGTCTGATCGAAGAGAATAATTGAAAACTACAGATCTAATATAAAGGACAATGAACAACTAGGTAGGATATGCCGATACATGTATGTACCTATAAAACGTAAGAGATTGAGAGTACGCACTTTTGTAACAGTAGTTTTGAGACAAAAAAATAACAAAAAAAACGACAAAAAATGAAAAAGCGATAGCGGACGATACTTATATATGATATATATACATGCTATATATATATATCATGTATATTGTGTACATAAGTATAACGGAGAAAAAAAGAGAGTTGATGCTTGATACTCCATAGTTTTCACCGACATATCCTGGTTAAACACCTCCTCTTTACGTACATACTGCATAGTTTTAATCACGACACCACCACAGAATTAATATACACAAAATGTAAGGTATTTTACGAACACAAAGAATGACGATAAAATTGCAATTGATCAACACGGATTATATTAATTGATCGCGAATTTTGATTATTGCCGTACGATTATAATTTTCGAGAGTATATAGATAAACGTAACGATGGTACAACTAAGGCAAGTATGTACTGTACATAGCTGTCACCCCCTGCCCACCACATGCGACTATATAAATATATAAATATATAAATAAATCTATATATATTATATAAATACATAAAGCCATTATATTGCAGAACATTAATTAATTGTTGTACTAATGATTATTTTGAAATTCTATTGTCCCTTATTATAATTTTAACGTATCAACTGTAATTAATATTATTATTGCTACTTTATATATATAATTATGACGATAAGAACGTGTTAAAAGCCGCGTGTAATTTTAATTAGCGTACAATGATTATCATTGGCGAAAGTAGATCCTTACTCTTAGCTAGAATTGGTAGGAGAAAGATTGTATTCTTGCTTTATTCACGGATTGGATTCTACCTCACTTTTATTGTTATTATCACCGTTTGACGGCAGAGAGCACGAGGAAAAGAAAAAGGAAAGAAAGTAGGCGTCGTCAACAAATTTTTCCGACCTTCCACTTTTCCACAATTCGCTAAGGAACACTTTCCAATCGGATATCAAAGCGCTATTGATTACTATTTATCATTGTTACACCAATTAGCGTGAGTTGTTGAAAACTGCAGCGACCTCAGCCTGTGATAGTTACAAAGGATATTATTTAAATTACGAATCCGCCGTATTATGCGAAATGTAGAGCACCGATCGGTCGATGGTTCCGAGTGAATCGTATTTTATCATCTATTCTCGTCCTATCATTTGTATAGGTATTGCGATCATGTTCTTTTGTTAATGATTCTCGCGCCTAGGATCATTGCACAATTCGATATTGTTGGTCGAGAGGAAAAAATGAGAAGAAATAAACGATTACGATAACTTGCTTACTGTCTTCGGTTTAGAGTTATGCAGATTTCAGCTTTGCAATGAGCTCTGTTTGCGTCATTGTCAGCGCAAAACACCTTTTAACACGGAAGTCTTGCGTTTACCGATTCACCACAGAGAACAATGTAATTCATGGATCTGATCCGTTCCGTTAATATTTCAACTAGCGGACTATTTAAGAATCGATACCTTTCTTCGATCCGTTCTATATAATACGGTATTACTTTGTAATTTTATGTATGATTGCATGTGATAAGAGACGCGAAAGAGAATAGAGAGAAAGGGAGGGAGAGAAAGAGCAAGTAAATATAAAGAACTAGTGAGTATCATTGAATGGTTCACACAAATACACGTAACAAACGCTGTGCGCTTGTGATCTTTAAGATTTACTTTTTTCTTTTTTATAAGCTAAAGAGAAGGATGCGTCTAATGTTATTTCTACTATTCTCGTGCGTGTCGCGATACGTGAAAGACTCGGAACGGAGGAGTTTCCATACGGTATGTTCCTTTATTAGATGAGCAAGGATCATTTATAATTAACTGTAATATATTCGCATGTAGAGCTTCGTAATATTTTTTTTTTCAATATACACATATATATTATATTAACTTTATTGTGATGTTAACTTAAGTCACGGAGCGTGTTGTGGGGGAATTTCTCGAGGTCGCTGTAGTAAAATCCTACCGCTGAGATGAGGGATCACTTTCTCAGTTTTTTAGCTTACTCGAGGAGCGCCAATAAGATACGCGGATGTCGACGGTTCTCAATGAATTAGGAAAAAAAGAAACGTCAGAATATACCCGCATAATTATCCTTGAGTATTGAAATGGCGATGATTGGAAACTGTACATTGTGATCAAAAACAGACTACAATGTAGTTTGTTCGTAAATGAACAAACAGGAAACCTTGTGTAATAAAGTAGATATCAATAAACACAGCTTCGTATTTTTTATTCTCCTCGTTATATGTATATTATTTGAATGATAGTAAAATCTTAATACCGTACAGCTTAAGATACAGTAGAATAAATATTTTACTTGTTACTCCATTTCGACGTCAACAACAGCATCCTCTATGACAACTTGTTCCGACATCACGGGAGTCTGCACTGTAGGTAGAGGATCAGGCGATCGAGTGTAAGTATTACTGGTCGAGTGTTCTTTAAGGTATTCGCCGCCCTTTTCTTCGTACTCTTTTCTGCTCACAAGAAACTCAGGAAGATTCCCATTAAGACCGAAGTCCCTTGCGCCGTACCATGCATCTAAACTTGTGTTTTTCGCGATATTTATTTGGAAAGTAGAACCGAAAGGTCGCATTTCACGGAGCTCGCGATTTAATCTTTCTAACAAGCCGGGAAATGCTGCTGGTCCACCGGTGAGAAACACGTTCCCTACTAATCGCGTCTGTTGCTCGAGTGGATAAAGCTTCAAAACAAATTCGATCGTTTCCGCGATACCTGCTTCCACGGAACTTATCATCGACGGTTGAAACAACACTTCCGGAGCTCTGAATCGTTCGACTCCTACGTGTAACTGATGAGTTTCACCAGGAATCAAGGGAACGTTTGATCCGGCTCCATCGAATTCCGGATCGTGATGCCGTAACACATTTTCCAATTCCAACAGTTTCTCTTGTTCCACCTCGGAGTCTGAATCTCCACCTTCCTGTATGATGTATAAATCGAGAAAGTGATTAAATTTTGAAACCGTATACTCATCGAGTTAGAAAAACAATTTATACCAACCCTGTTTATAACTTTATAAACATCCCAATCTTCGTCCCTTATACCAAAATCGTCGTCACGTTTTTCCTTTCTTGCTAACTGGCTTATTATACGCATTCTCTCTTGCGCGGCCGCTGTTCTACGTTTCGCCATGTCTTGTCTACGCTGTCTCTTAGCCATTCGTCTTTCTAATATTTCTTGCCTATGGTGTTAAGCGAAAACATGGTTTAAGTGTTGTATAATTAACGATAAAATAATTAGTTACCTTTTCTTTCGTACACCAGCGATCCATTCGTCGAAATCTTGCTGATCTTTAGGCTGCAGACTAGACTTTATTTTCGGTTTCTGTTCTTCCATCGTGATATTTTCTTCTTGCGAATTAGCTGCAACTATTTTCTGCCTCGTACGTTCTACTTTCGCTTGTAGATTGTTGATCATCTTTATCAAATCTGCTTCGTTGGCCAGGGAATAGGTTTTTAATGCCTGGTTGAATTCATCCATCTCACCTTCTTCTAGCAAATCTTGGACGGCTAATAATTGATTTAATTGTTCCTCGTCTTCTGCCAACTAGAAGTAACAATTATTTTAAGAGTGTATTTCTATTTAATTGATTTCATGTTTGAAAAGTTACTGACTCTCTCTTCTCGTTTCCTAGCATTGATTTCCATTAATCGTCTAGCCAGTTCACGTTTTCTTTCCTTTTGTTGCTCGACTGTTAATCCAGGAGCATTTGCAGGGGCAATATAGGGTAACTGAACTCTTAATATATTCATATCATAATAATCTGGATCTGCCCATTTGGAAATTTCTTCTTGATAATTTAACGCTATCATCGAATGTTCATGTATTAGTTCCTATATTATACGAAAATGACAAAAAATATATATTTTTTTTAATTCATCGCAGATACAAAAAAGTAAACAATATGTATATATACCTCTGCTCTACTAGGTGTTATAGCATTTACATGCACTGGATATTTAAGTTGTAACAGCCTATGCATGTAAGATGTAATATGATATCCTCCAACATTAATTCTTCTCGAATTGCCAGGATCTGCTTTTCCATCCAATATAGGTATGACGTGCGTAGTGTGATATCCAATATTAATTATCAAGCCATCCGGTGGACAATTATTATGTTGATAAGAAAATAAACAGTCAACTCCATATGCTATCGCAGGTACATTATAACATTCAAATAATAGCTCAGCCATCACTGAAATCAATTTAACTATTAATTTTAAGAAATTTCTAAATATAGACTAACATACTTACAATTTCGTGAGTAATTAGGATTAAGAAATGCTTCTGTTACAATAATAGGATGATTCACAGAACCTTCTGTGTCTATTCCCATGTGAGTAAATGTATAATCGAATATTTGTTCCTGGGCTTCAAAGTGAGTTACAACATTGCGATCGAATTGTGTTTTCAATTGAAATCTTACAGCTTCAATGTTCGCTATGTCATTTCCAACTTGTGGTTCACCATCCTTCTTGCCACGTTCTTTCCTTGGTTTTGCAATAAGATTTTTAAATATCAACTGTGGTTCCTTCTCCGTGGCCCAACCGACTCTACAGTTGTATGATCCTAGTATAAGATCCATTCATTTATATCACGATTATTATGCAATGTATTAAACTGTAATTACCATTATCAATCACAAGCGGTGTCCGTTCGTTTCTTACTCGATCCGGGTAAGAATGAATTATATCAGGTATCGCTTTGATGTCTTTTAGTTCAAGAATTTCCATTATATACAGTTACACTAATTAAAATAAATTATAACAAAGGACTGCAATTGCATACATTGCACTTTGGTGTACGATGGGTACGATGTCAACAATTTCATCACAGCAATCAACAGCAATGTCAGTAATGTCAGTCGAAGTTTTAACTGCAATCGCAAGAGGGCGGGCGAATGCAGAATTCATCGCAT